GGGCGGGGCCATGGGGTGGGGGCGGGCCTGGGCGGAGCCGGACGCTCTGGGCGTCCTAGCCTGGGGCGTCTGGAGAGGCTGGCTTCTGCGCTGCAGCTGAGGGCTAGGGCTCCAGAAGGGGGAAGTTCTTGAACGCGAGCGTCTGTCTGATCGTCTCGATGACCTGGAGCTAAAATATTTTGGTATGGGGAGAGGACGACAGTAATGAGTCATGAGCTGTGGGGTGCAGGAAGATAAAGGGAGTTGAGGATTTGTTCACAAATGATGCAGCTGGGCGAGGGGGCGGGCTTGGGCTCTGAGCATCTGGAATGAGAAGGAAGGTGTGAGTGCTTGGCTCCCGGAGGTACCTGCCTGAGCTTGCTGTTTAGAAAAGCGAAATCCAAATGCCTAGATATAATATATGGAAACCACTTCAGTAGCATAGGTGCTAAAAATTAGGGGGAAACAAAGTGGGCTAATCTTTACTGGTTGGAAATAATTTCTCTGGCACTATAACTTGAGGGACAAATGGAAAAACTCAAACGAAACAGAAACCGACATTCAATAAAAACATAGGTACAGGCAGGAGAAAGTAGAGTCCCCTTGGTTTCTTCAGGTGCAGGCGAGGCTCTGGAAAATGCCTGGAAATGCTAGGGCAGGGATTCTGCAGATTTCTCTCTGCATATTGGTACTTTTTCACAGATAACAGATTTCAGTTTGCCAAGTGCCCCAGTGTTTCACCAATGCTTTCGAAATTAATAACTCAGTAGCAATAAGAATGCAGTGAAATACTAAGTTTCATAAATGAAAACTTTCATCCCAGGTCGAGGGTTGAGAGGTTAGTCTCCTCCCAATTTTTACTAATTTGTGGTATGGACAGATCACCTTTTTTTTTAAACCAAATTGGTAGGACAGTTTCAATAATTCACACATTGCATACATTCTTCCTAGTGGTTATTTGCTGTACAAGATGCGGACTTGATATCCTATTTACAAACACCATTAGAACAAATCCCTCTATTCATTAAGAGAATGTAACTATATATCTATTCTAACCACTTTGAATACACAGGTGCAAAATGGACATTCATCTGTATCCCCTTTTTTTGTTAAGTTCTGTTATTTGAGTATTATAGGTGTGTAAACTCAGCAAAATATTCTAAAAGAGTTCAGTAGTCCACAGTAGTACTGGGTCTTCTGCTGACTGGCAATGTCAGAAACTGTTGACCTGAGTCCCCTACAGCTCAACATAACACCATGGCTTTACTTCTTATACTTCGTTTTTATACTTTTCTGCTGGATGGTTAAGACCAAGGTAAAGCCAGACCTATGCAACAAGAGTTGTAGTTTTTGGATCTGATAAGGTCAGTGAAATCCCCTCAGGATTTATCCTGAGATCCTGTACCTCAGATTGTAGAACCTTTGTCAGTGTCAGTCATGTGGATGAGTCCTGGCCATTGCTTGGCCAATGTGCTCTCTGTGGAAGCCTGAGAGAATCTTTTCTCTCCATGTGACTTTCCTTAGGCACACTCAACTTGTAATAGTAGGTTCATGCTTTGAGTGCCAGCCATTCTGGTCTTCTGAATATGGGCTCCTTGTCATGACATGCCAGTTGCTGCTGTGCTGTCTCTCGGGTAGATGATTGTTCAAAAAGAAGTGCGTGGTGAATGAAGGCAAGAGACAGGAAAAGGAATATTGTGGGACTGTCCTGCTTCAAGGTTGTATATGGTTAGATTTGTGGACAGATCACTTTCTGGTGAAAAGCAAACAACTTTGAAAGCAAGAAAAATTTCAAAAGCATTTAGCATCAAAATAAATAAAAGGTGACCTTTATTTCTTCATAGCTCTTCCTGTGTCCCAGTGGGGGACTACTCTTGTCCAAACACCCTGGTATTGAATTTCTTTTGGCCCTTCAGTGACTATGCTTATTCTGTCCCTTCCCTTGTAATATCTGTTACCCAATCAGCCCCGCTTGGGGGTTGCCATTCTTCCGACTGAATTTCTCATCATCCCACTGAAAGCACATTATTATTATTATTATATAAGCACAGTAAGCATGATATTATTAATATTACAGTGTTATACTGTAAGTTATTTTTTGCTATTTCATCTAACTGACTTCTGTACTCTATTTCTTCCAATCATGGGAAGAACTCATTCCCATTTTAGGGGCAGTATCTATGCTTGAGCTTGTAACAGTTGGGTCTACACAGAGCCTTGTCTCCTCCACCAGGATTCATCCCAAACATAGCTCTTCCTTTGAGTTTTGGAAGCAAAACATCTGTAATATCTGCACTGTGCCTTACCTGGCCTCGATGCAGATCAGTAGTCTCTAGCCTTCTTGAGAGACCCTAGAGTTGCGGGAAAGGGAAGTTAGATTTCAGAGATATCTGCATTTGTGGCAGAGAGGAAATTAGGAATTACTTTCTGTAGACATAGTAAATATGCAGACCAGCTTTCAGAACAAAATGTGCCCACAAGGTGCTCTGTAGATTCCGATGGTGCAAGCACTAGAAGATCAGAGAGAATTAGTACACAAATAGCTCCCCGACAAATATTTTAACCTCCAGCCAATCATTACATTTTTCACATTATTGACATGAATATGATCATTTTTGGTTTGCAGATGAATGAATCAAGGCACAGACATTTTGGTTTGTTGTGTCCTGCTCCACTTATTTGTGCTGAAGCTAGAGGGGTACAGCGAGCTGCTCAGCACTCTCCAGTGAGCTTTCAGGCTAATTCATTTTGAACAGGCATCTTCTCAAAGTTGGGAGATGTAAGTGCATTGAAAACAGGAGCCAGAGCTGAATGATCCAAATCCTTGGCAGAAAGGGTGGTAGGTAAATCGCACTATTAAAAATAAAGAGTCTTGTTTTCTGTGAACTAAGAATGGATAGCTCCAATTATCATTCCTTCTAAACATGAAGCTGGTACAAAGTTAGTTAATTATAAATAATGCATCCAACCATAGAAGGAATGAGCTATATGCTATGCTATTGTACATTAAAAACCTTTATGAGTGTGGCAAGAGACACATATACCAACAGCTGCTAAATTCAGAATCCGGGAGCAATATCTCACTTTAATGGAAGTGAAGAACAGTACAGTGTATTGCTCAGGGGATTTCGCTATGTATAAAAGATTCTTAGTTCTACTGGAAATTTTATACAGTGATTTAAAAGCACTTATGAAAATCTGTTTTCTTTATGCGAATATCTTTCAAGCTCTCTTCAATTACTGAGCTTAGAACAAACAGTACTTTCTAGAATAGCTATCCCATGATAGAAGCTTTTCTCCCTTCCTTCCTTCCCTTTTTCCATTTATCCCTCTCCCTGTTCCTGGTCTCTGTTACTCTCTTCCCACCTCTTGCCTTCCCTCCCTGCACCCCTCTCTCTCTTTTTCCTTTTACTTTCTTTTGTTTCTCTTCCCTAACCTTCTTTTTCTTTCTTTTGATTTTCCAGTTCTTTAGTACCTATTTCAAAGCCTGGGCCTTTGTTTTGACTGTACATTTAAAGTTAAATGTGACTATCACCCCTGTTTTACAGTAGAAAAGAAAAAGTCTTAAACGTCAAAGTGTATTGCTGAATTCTGAGCAGAATCACAAGTTTTTTTTACTCCAAACTATGTTGAGAATCTTGTTGCCACACAACCATAGTCAAAGCTATGTCTTAAGGTGACTTCATTCAAGTGACACCTAAAACTGGCATACTGGCCAACATTTTAAAGAGAATTTCTGCAAAAATTCTATGTCCTAATATACACAAATTCAAGTCTTTTTTTTTTTTTAATTTTTATTTTTTTTTGTGTGTGTGTGTGTGTGTGTGTGTGTGTGTGGCCAGCTCAGCCCACCAGGGGGCGGGGCTGGCTGGCATGTGGTGCTGGGGGATTGAACCGCGGTCCCTGTGCTTTGCTAAGCTTGTTCTAAGTAGGTGCTTTAGACCACTGAGCCATCTCACCAGCCCCAACAAATTCAAGTCTTGAACCTTAGAATGTAAGCTGAATACTGCATAATCTTAGAAAACAATCAAATGCAGGGAATGGAACAAGCTAGACAATGTATGAAATCCCTGAGCTAACTTCATCTTTGTCCATGATCTGTTATTCAGGAGAACTCTTTAAAATTGGAGAAAGGGAATTGGAGAGATAGTGCCGCTGTCTATGCACCTGCCTGGCTACCACACGAACCTGGGCTCCATCCTTAGTAGAACATGCCATGCAGGCCCTGGAACCCTGGGCACATTGTGCTAGACACCAAAATTGGGCATGGTAGCACATGCATCCCAGCACTGGGGAGGCTGAAACAGAGGATCACTGTTGTGGTTTGTGTCTAGGTGCCCCCCCCCACCCCAAGCCTCATGAAATCTTGGGGCAGCTTCTGGAATTTGTGATTGATTATTGTGGGTGTGGATGCTGCATCTGCCCTGAGGCAGGTAATTTGCATTTCAATGTAAGGAGGAAAGAGAAGTTAGCAGTTTGAAATGCTGTTACTCCTCCTTGTGGCTCTCCTGCCCTTTACCACCACATGAAAGGTTGCTCTCTGCCATGTAACAGGCTGCCTTGGAGTCAGCTGAATATGGACTGAAACCTCCAGTAATTGTGAGCTAAATAAACCTTTCCTTCCTTCAATTTGGGTGTTGGGTATTTGTCCCAGCAACGAGAGAAGAATAACTGAGACAATCACTATGAGTCTGAGCTATATAGTGAGACCCTGTACCAAATATTTTTTTT